ACATCCTCCCCATTTGCATGTGATCTACCTAACTTTATCTTCTCTGCGTACAGAGTTCCCGGTTCAGTACACTTGTCATTGTACAGAGTTTTAAAGAGCAGGGTCAAGAAAGCCATCTGTAAATGGAAAAACTCAAATGTAATAGATGACAAGTGTAATAACCTTTCTTTCTCAGTCATAGCTTGTTGGCGGACTCGCTTTGCACCAGAAAATCTTTCTCTTTTTAATTGATCACCACCAATATGGACTTTAACACCAGCAAGATCTGTGTTACTTTTATCGTAAATTTCTGTAATGTGGTCTTCATAACTATCCATCATATCCACAACTTCTGCATAACTTTGTTCATTTTTGCAAAGAACTGGAAATGTGACAACTGTATTCTTGGAGCTCATATCACAGTCCTTGGCTCCTAAATCATTTTTTCAATGCTAGTGAAATGTGCTTGAACTTTTTGAAAAATTTCATATGTCTCACCAGAATTTGAAATACAACACAGACATAATCATTGGAGATAACTTTAAAATCATTTTCATCTGGGAGAAATGATTGAGGTGGCAGGTCAAGAGTTGGGGAGATGGTAAATGATCAAAAGTGTATATATATAATGGCTGCAGAGGCAAACCAATGCTCCATATGGGTTGAATTCCCTTTACGTTGATGACTTGCCATCACCATTAAATTGACGTTGTCACCAACGATCGTTTGCCATCTATGACTGCTTGTATAAATTGTTGGATGAAATGGCCTCCTATTTGGTCCTGTACCTTATTACTAGTGGCATGAGATACAGTCACTCCCAATGTCTGCAGTCTGTCATATACCTATTTCAGGGTAAGAAATAATTTAATTTAGCCATCTTAAAGAAAATATGCATGCCATTGCTCGACAGTGACTGTCTCGGCTGATAAAAATAGTTAGAAAGGTAGGTGGGAGGATTTTTTTAATATTCAAAATGTTAAAACACATGTCAATATGATTTTGAAATATATTTACATGTATTAATTAGCAAGATGAGAAAACTTCTGAATAAATAAAAACAAAGTAATTGTTAATTAATTTGGAGGTGAAAAAAAGTTATAGGTTGGGTCATTTTTTGGGAGGAACAAGCAATTTTTTGAAGATGACCTTATTAAAAAAATTCATCTAAATATACTGAACTGTAATGACCATATCTTTAAATACTTGATTTCAATGTTTATGAAATATATATTAAATATATATTTTGCCCTGCAAAAGAGCAGTACCGCAGTTCCCGTGAAACGGTGGCAGCCATTTTCAGACTATTTTGATCTCCTTTTAAAGAAGAGCTCCATATAAAGTCAAATTTTGAAACTAAAATGTTTTATTTTTTTTCTTTGCCAAATGATAGTAGACATCTTAGGTTACCATATGTAAAAAAAAGAAGTTAAATCTGGTGGTTAATTCGTGGTTAATTTGTTGACTCCCCAGCCTCCTTAAGTTGGTTTACAATTTACATTGTTGTAAAAGCTGTATTAATTTGAGAAGAATAAAGGTACTGATGATCGAGATGAATCTCACCTTTTGAGTCTTACCTTTTGATGAACATTCTCTTGAGCAATTGCTACAGCAATAAATCTTTGGACCCGAGAAAGGATATGGTTTCTCCTTTTCATCAGTATACCATAAATAAGGCCAATTTCTCTAGCTGCAGACTTGTAATGGCTTTCATCTGTAGCTTTATTTTCCCCTGTTGAGATGGTAATAAGGATCTGCAAAAACCTAGGTTGGTATTTAAACATTTCCTCAATTATGCTTTCCCAGGTAAAGGACTTGAGGTCATCATACGTTACTTGACCTAGGTAACTTTGGTTTTTACATGACATATACTTGGCGTCTGATTCAATTTCTAGTAAGAAAAGAGACCAGAGACTTTCTTTTAGGCATGTGATATTCATTATTTGTTTAGCAATATCTATAGAGGAACTTCCAGTACAAAATTTTTGTATAATATCCAGAACTAAATTTGTTTGAAGGTTATCATTTTCTAGATGGAACTGTTCCTGGTCTTGGTTAGATTGGTTGACGTTGTTCCTTGATTTTTTCAGAAAGTGAAGCATTTTCTGGCCAGCTGGAGGGTCCAAAGATTCATCCATTGGTTTCTCATTTTGGTTTGGAATTGACTGTGTACTATCAAATAAATTACAAGAGGCCAATGGGGCACATCTCTCACCTGAGTATCTTTGCCATACTATTCTTCACCAGATTTCCCTTTTGTAATATCTATCGTGACCCCTCCCTGCCCAATGGGGTAATTTGGAGAATGTAGAATCTATACTACCCCAGAATGCTTCCACATATTAGTTTCAGCTTTTCTGGAACAGGGCATGGTTCTTGAGAGGACTATTTTTTCCTATCAATTGAGAAAACTATTTTTTCCTACATGTATATATTTCAATCATAAACATTGTCCGACACTTCTGCTTCATATTTGGATAATTTACTTGAAAAAAACACTAATGGTAATCTAACAACCAAGCTATATTTGATGACTTCAACTTTTCTATCGTCAGCTTCCCTTACTTATGCAGCAATATACCTTTATCACCTCCATACGGAGTATATATATCTCAGTTGATTTGATACGCAAAAGCATAATCTACGTATGAACATTTTCTTAAAGGAGGTAAATTATTGACAAGCAAGTTGATGAAACAAGAATATCAGCAGTCTCGTTTAAAGTCATCATTTTGCAAGTTCTATTGTCGATACAATGACTTTGTCAGCAAATACAATTTATCATTGAGTCATAAGTTTAATGACGTTTTTCATACCAATTGTTAGTCCATTATTTATACACTGAATTGACAACGGATTTTTTCCGTTATTTCCTGATTATGACAACGAGCACACGGCGGGTGTGACCGGTCGGCAGGGGATGCTCACTCCTCCATGGCACCTGGTCCCACCTCTGATGTTTCGGAGGTCCTTGTTTTCACTGCTCTTATTTTGTATATTGTTTAATGGACTTTGAGACTGAGTGATGTTCACTGTCTCCATGTCCCTCTTGATATAGATAAGTTGCATGTTGACATAATTATCTTCCTTGTTGACATAAAAATGTCGCATGTTGACATAATTATCTTGCATGTTGACATAAATAAGTCGCATGTTGACATAATTATCTCGCATGTTGACATAAAAATGTCGCATGTTGACATTATTATCTTGCATGTTGACATACAAAAGTCACATGTCTACATAATTATATTGCATATTGCATCTAAAATGTCAGATACAGGCGTTATTAAAGCCATATATGGGGTAACTGATAAAAAAAATATGTTTTTGAAAAATACAAAATTAAGTTAAGAAATAAAGTTAATACATTTAAATTAAAGCTTTTCATGCAATTCTGAACACGGAGAACACCTCGTTTCATCTAAAAATACGATTTTATCTTCTCTGTAATGTGTTATTTAAATCTTTTGTACATTTTAGAAAATGTTCTAAATTAAATTGTGATATCTTTATAAGGCAATTGACTTAGATTTTGTAATTTACGGAAAACTTCTATCTTTATATAAAGTAATGATACAAATAATAAATTCTTATAATTTTAGTCTAGTAATTTTCATTGTACATATGCCATATATGGCTTTAAGTAAATTTACCCTTATTTAAATTATATTTTCTTATATAATTGGTAACTTGCATGTCAACATAATTAACTTGCTTGTTGACATTAATATGTTGCATTTCTACATAATCATGTGAAATGTTAATATTATTTATCTTGCATGTATTGTAAGGGACAGAAATATATGCCACCATAGATCATACTCTTAAAAGATATACTTTGTAAATGACTATGTGCATGCCGACATACTGGTAGTAAATATCTTGCACTTGCATGTAGCTGCGGAAACTGTAGCTCTTTTTTGTGCGCAATAAATATACAGATTTTTCAATGGGTGTCACTGTAGCTCTCCGTTCTATCAATATAATTTGGAGAGCTACAGTTCTGCAGCTAACTTGCATGTTGACATAATTTTCTTGCAAATCTTGCATGCTGACACAGTTTTCATGCAGGTTGACTTAATTTATCATTCAGGTATGGGGTAGAAATATGCCATCATAAACGCTAGTTTCTGACATCATAAATGCAAGCTTTAAGATACAGCGTAATTATATTAACAAGGAGCATAACTTTAATGGCATGCAAAATGCAAGATTGTTACATGTTAACATGCAACTTAATAACATGAAATTTAATTATGTGAACATGCAAGATAATTATGCTAAAATTCAGTTAAGTTATGTCAATAAGTGACTTATTTATATTAACATGCAAGAGAATAAGTTGTCTGTCCACATCTTATATGCTGACATAATCATCTTGCGTGCTAACTTGCTTACGTGTATCGTGCATGTTGACAGAAATAACATGTTTATATAAATGATGTTGCATGTTAAGATAAATAAGTCGCAGGTTGACATAAATACATGTTTGTTGCATGTTAACATTAATTATAGTGCATGTTAGCTAAATGGTTTTAATATGCAAACCTCGATACAATCCAAGTTAAAAAAATGTTAGTGTTTAGGCCTTTCTTAAACTCAGTTTAAAATCCTATTGAAGATACATGTATATATACTGTCTTTTCTGAATAATCAAACACACTGTTTCATAAATTTCTTTCCCATTATACTATTTTCCTTGATTTTATCACTGTGCAATCCGACACCCTGTTTATTCCGACACAAAATCTGTCTCCCAGTGCATGTCAAATTAGACAGGTTTCACTGTATATATTTTCATCAAATTTCATGTTGCATTTCTAATGAACCCTGGAATGATCATTTGTATCGTATGGGCATTTTTCTAGTTTTATGAATCCAAAGACAAACGGAAAGAGGAGGGGGGGACTCAGAGTGTTTTGGTCCACTGACCTCCTCCTACATTGAAAGACAAAAATTTACCAATCACAATTTATTGAAAAAAAAAAACCATAAACACATTTTCTTTGCAATAATTTTAATAATACCACACATTCATTTATACATATCTAAAATGTACAATAAAAGTATTTAACCGTTTACAGAAAACATTGATTTTGGATAAAAAAAAAATAAACACCGAAGAAAAAAAACATTAAAACACCAAAAAGAATTTTAGAAAAAAAATAAAAAGAAAAAAGAAAAAAAAACCATTCAAACATTGAGAAAAAACATAGAGAGAAAACATGGTGTGCGGTACATTGAGATCGGAACAGCCTTTAGAATCGCATGGATTGAAGCTGCCAAATCGGGGAGTTCTCAGGAATTTTTCTACCCTTTTTCTTGGGTGACCTGCAAACAGAATAGGAGACCTACATTTAGAGGGTTGAAAAGACAACACAAATAAGACAAATACAGTAATCTTATTAATTCATTTGACGGCTTCATGACAATATATTATATATTTGTTACTTGGATTCAGAAATTGATTAAATGTTGATATTATAAATATGTTGGCTGTGATTTAAACACAATATCATAATTAAATAGTAACTTTAAAAAAATTGATATAAGCAAGTGATACACAAAATTGTATCTAAAAAATAGTACTTAAATTTAATTAATGCATGCAAGTGATTGTCCTGATCAACACTCCACCTTAATGTGATAAGATATGTTGCCATGCCTAGCAAATTAAGTAGGCCATGACCCTAGAAATTTATCAATTGTCTTAAGATTTTATTTAAGAGCAGGATAATATGAAGTTAGTAATATTAAATAAAAAACATCCAAGTACAACTGTAGATTCCTTTATATAAGGGCGGTATTGATTATTTTAATGTTATTAGTACCCTCCAAGAATTACAATATATTGATCTAATTTTTAATATGTGATATTAAATAAAGCTGAAATTAATGAAGTGAAAAATGTGAATTCATGAGTCTACAATTAATTTACATGTAATTTTAGTTTTAAAATATATGTTATTAATATTAATGATATGGATAAATTAAACGACAAGCCTATGAACGCTCTAGAGCTCCAAAGATCAACGTACTAATTCCAGGCCATTTTATGACATGAGTTTTAGGAACACATACTAGAATGACAGAGGAATCTATAGTATGTCAAATTGTGATTTGTTGACGTTATGGTATAAATATCATTTAACATATGCAATAATTTAGCCCTCTCTGATTTTTTTTCTTATAACCCCCCCCCCCCCCCCCCAATAAAAATGAGGGCTGCCTTATTGCAGCAATAGCGGTGCTAATATGTTAAAAGTTAAAAAAAAAAACTTTTCATTAACTTGGCATTTTTCTTACATAATAGTCATAACAGATGAAACAAACATACAAAATCATGTTATTATAACTGAAAAGCCTGTGTTTGAAAAAAAAAATTAGAAAATTTCATTTTATGCAAACATGTAGTTCAATGTGATATTGTAAAAGAACATATACATACCTCATCCAGATGTCTCGAGAAAAAGCAAGTTTATGGATAAAAATGAACAATATATATTTAAATGATGATATCAAATTAAAAAAAAAAGACCTATGGTTTACCCTGCACATGTATTTGGCAGTCTTCAAGTAGGAATGCTACCTTGTAAATAGGATCTTAATCAAATTCTTGCAGTTTTTTTGTTTACAAGTACTTAAGTTAATATACAATTGTTTATAAATTAAATAACTAAAAATTGTTTTCTAAAATGTGAACATTTTCCACAGGAAATTTTTTTTTCTTGTTTACAAATAGGATAATATTTTCAAAATATTCAAACTATTTTCATTGAAACAAGTCCGTTTTATTCAAAACTTACATGTTGTATAATTTCGTTTTTTATTAGGTCACCTGAGTAAACTCAGGTGACCTATTGCTATCTGTTTTCGTCCGTCGTCGTGCGTTGTGCGTTGTGCGTTAACATTTGAACATTTTCAGCTTCTTCTCTGCAACCACTGAACCAATTTCAACCAAATTTGGCACAAAGCATTTATGGGTGAAGGGGAACAAAAATTGTATTTATTGAAAAAATCACTAAAATTAATGCAATCTTTAAAAATCTTCTTCTTTACTCCTGGACATCAAGCAGTTAAACTGTTTGCATGATTGTAACCAGCATTGAGTCCTCTACAAAAATTGTGAAATTTATGGCCCCTGGGTCAGGGGTTCTAGTGCTAGGGTGGGGCTAAATAAGTATATAGTGAAAATGCATTATTTCTTTGAAAATCTTCTTCTCTGCTCCTAGGTATTAAATAAACTAACTAAGTGCATAGTTATGAAAAGTGCCTCTACCAAAATTGTGAATTTTATCAAGGGGTTCTATTTAGGGCGGGGCTCATATTATATAGTGAAAATTCATGAATTCTTTGAAAATCTTCTTCTTGCTCCTGAGTATTAAATAAACTAAAATGATAGTTATGATGAACAAGTGCCTCTCACCAAAAATGTGAAAAACCCCATCTGGGGTTCTAGTTAGGGTGGGGCTAAATTAATATTAGTGAAAATGCATTATTTCTTTGAAAATCTTCTTCTCTGCTCCTGGGTATTAAATAAACCAACTAAGTGCATAGTTATGATGAACAAGAGTGCCTCTACCAAAATTGTGAATTTTATGGCCCCAGGGTCAGGGGTTCTAGTGTTAGGGTGGGGCTCATAGATTATATACTAGTGAAAATTCATGAATTCTTTGAAAATCTTCTTCTCTGCTCCTGGGTATTAAATAAACTAACTAAGTGCATAGTTATGATGAGCAAGAGTGTCTCTACCAAAATTGTGAAATTTATGACCCCGGGGACAGTGCTAGCAAATTTATATAGTGAAAATGCATTATTTCTTTGAAAATTTTCTTTCTGCTCCTGGGTATTAAATAAATAAGTAGTAATGATGAGCAAGAGTGCCTCTACCAAAAAATTTTATGGCCCCAGGGAGGGGTTCTGTGTTAGGGCGGGGCTTATAATTATATAGTGAAAATTCATGAATTCTTTGAAAATTTCTTATGAATTAAATTTTAAGTGCATAGTTATGATGTGCAAGAGTGTCTCTACCAAAAATGTGAAATTTATGGCCCCAGGGTCAGGGGTTCTAGTGTTAGGGTGGGGCTCTATTGATTATATAATGGAAATACATGAATTCTTTGAAAAAAATTGTTTTTGCTCCTAGGAATTAAATAAACTAAGTACATAGTTTAGAATAACTCTTCCAAAATTTTGATTTTATGGCCCTAAGGTCAGGGTTCTAGTGATAGGGTGGGGCTCTATTGATTATATAGTGAAAATACTTTAAATCTTTGAAAATTTTCTTCTCTGCTCTTTATTAAGCAGATGAACTACCTAGTTATTCAAGGACCCTAATCTTCCAGAATTGTGAATTTCAAGGCCCCAGGGTCAGGGGTACCATAGGAGGGGGTGTACTTAAATACTGAAACTGGATGAATTGTTTGAGATCTGCTCCTTGGAAATTAATCAAATATTTTTGAAAAGCAAGGGTGCCTTTTCAAAAATTGTGCAATGTGTGGATCTAGGCCTAAGGGTTCATGTGTGATTGGGGCATTACTGATTATTGCTGAATATTACTGATTACTTGAAATGCATTTTTTGTTCCCCCACCCTGCCTATGGGTATTAAGTAAACAAACTAAGCAACTGCTAAGTGTATTGTTATGATGATCAAATGGTGCCTCTTTCAAAATTGTAAATGCCATAGCATCTTGCTTAAAACATTAATCGAATTAAATCGCTGGAAAGTTGTTGCATAATGCTCAGGTGACCTATAAGGCCCATGGGCCTCTTGTTAATTTCACGATGTCAAGTCTAATTATGTCTGCCTTAAGAATTTTGATAATTTTTTTTATAATTAATTTTTTACTGTTATATTTATTGTTTTTAGATTCAAAAAAATAAAACGTTTACCATCCCGATTTCGAAGAGAGCCATTTCAAAAGTTTTGATATTGGACCCTATGGGAATTTGTTGGAAAAGCACCATATTATCAAATTTATTTCCCATATTTTTTGTATTTCTGAACATACTAATTAATTTTCGGAAAATTTTGATGTAACCTTGAGATTTCTTTTATTCAAATAGATGAAAGTTATAATAAAAAGTCACCAAATTGTGAAAAAAAGATCATCTAGATTGGTCGAGGAATTTACTACTAAGTTTATTTTTTCGAAGCCTAATACATGTAAAATTAAAAAGCAGCACAAAGTCATGCGTACTCGAATAAGACTCGGCCTCGATAATTTGTTTAAAACTCTTCTGAAACCTCAGGGACATGAAGCAGTTTTAACTTGCTTATTTCAGTATAGTTTTAGTCAAATAATGTGTAATGATAGAAAACATACAAAAAATTGAACTGGCCGTTTAAAACAGTCCCCTTTTTTATGAATTAAATTTTAAGAGTATAAATTAAATATGAGATACTAAAATTTCAACTTATGGCAATGAGGCAGTTTGGTTGCCAGAAACCAGATTGCTAAGAGGGTAAAGCAAATGACTGGAAATTAAGACTGCCTTAAATTCCCAGTCTGGTTCATTACATTTTCTTCCCCTCCTGTTATGTTTGATACTGTGAGCAGGCCTTGGAATAGTCAGAAAAGACAACAGGGTTGATGTTTATGAGGTCTGAAAACCTTAAGGGGGTAGGGCTTTGGCAGGCAGATGGATGTGACCCATGAACCCAGATAGCTCAGTCAGTAGACATGACTGGACATTCAGGGTACACAGGTTCGAATCTTTGTCTGATTCATTGTGTATCAATATTTCTCCTGTTACAGTCCATTAAATGTTCCCCTCTACCTCAACCTTCTGATAAAGGTTTCATGCACTTAACAGAAAAAATGGAAAAAATTTAATATCCCCCCACTTGCCAAAAGTTAGCATATAAACATGCATGTACCTCTTGTTTCCACTTCTAGAATCCTTCATCTGTGTTGTTGCTTCACCTACAAATTTACAGATAAGAATACCTGTAAATAATGTTCTCTGGTTCAGAGGAAGTTCTTTAAGTTTTTAAAATGACCCTTGGGCAACCTTTTAAATGAGAGCTGTGTTCAATTTAATTTTCATATTTTTTTTTAAAATTAACCTTCCTCCAAAGGATGTACAGACATTAAAAGCTGTAATTAATGTTTTCTGGTCCAGATGGCCTCCTCTTAGACTGAAAGCTGTTTCCAAATTAATTTTCATATTTTTTAAAAACTGACCACAAAAGGATGCTTAAAGTGATAAGAATTTAATATAAAAGTTGCCCTGTATTTCTAGAGAAGTTTAAAATGTTAATTTTAGGGATGGGGAGTTTTTTTTCCTTGGTGAGTATCAATCATAGTTTTTATGCAAATTTCAAATAAAGTTCCAATGTTTAACTTTTCAAATAAATATAAACTAGGCTTACATTTGGAAGTTCTATACTGCTCAACCTTAGGACTCTGCTCAAGCAGCATGCACGGAGAGCCCGCGTGACAATTGAAGTCTTGCGCCAACTCCTGGGACATAGGAGTGACTTCTACTTCTACCTCGTCTTCAATGCTATTGGAGGATTTGGCCTGTTTTGATAGAATGGACGAAATGATTGGAATGAAAGAAAATAAGTAAATTCAAAAAATTGTGGTCCCCCGCTTTCTTGCCAAATAAATACATATGTGAAATATGAAGGTTCTAGTATCTATCATTCAAAAGTTGTGGCCAAGGCTAAAGTTTTTTAAAAAGTAGTTAAAACTCCAAGGTCAAGGTCAAAGGGTCAAAGATTTTGGTATCCAATGAAAGGTCTTTTCAAATGGATTACATATGTGAAAAATGAAAGCCCTAGCCCTTACCATTCAAAAATTATGGTCAAGGTTTAAATTTTTTCATAAGTACATGTACGGAAATTTTCAAGGTCAAGGTCAAAAGGTCAAAGTTGTTGGTATCCAATGAAAGGCCTTGCTACAAAGAAAATATATGTGAAATATGAAAGTCCTACCGTAGTACGTACCATTCAAAAGTTATGGCCAAAGTAAAAGTTAAGAATTTTTTGTGTAAAAGTGGGTCAAACTCCAAGGTCAAGGTCAAAAGGTCAAATTTGGTGGTACCCAAAAAAGGTCTTGTCACAAGAAATACACATGTGAAATATAAAAGTCATAGCTCCACATAATCAAACGTTATGGGCAAGGTTAAAGTTTTTGTGATGGACTGACAGACGGACGGACTGACAGACTGACGAACAGACGAATGAGATTTAATGTCCTCTCGCATTTGCGAAAGCGGGAGACAAAAAATCCTGTGACTGTTATTGATGTGCAAAAAATTTTCATAGGAATATTCATGTAAAGACAGAAGGTGCACTATAGCAAAACGATTTAAAAGAGAAGGAAATATTATGCAAACATAAATAAACATGTAAAACATTTCATACAGTATATATCTATAAATAATGAGACTGAAAGCCGCATTTAATGACAATAATTATTTTCAAATACCATTAAAATTTATGGTTAAGTTACAGAATTAAAGAAAAACGATATAAAGATTTTTTTTGTAAAATATCGATGACCTACTTTTAAGTAATCGCTGACACTTTGTGGACTATTGACCCCGTCTCTCTTATTTACAGGGACGTCTAATGGATCCTCCTCATTGAGCTCCAGTGAGGTCCTCGCCCTTATTAAGTAAAACAAAAACATTTGTGTTAACATAAACATTCTCAGTAATAGAAGGGGGCATTAAAAAAGTATAATGGGGGTCGCCCAGGCTCCTATTCTATATGTTATTGGGGGTGAGGAAATTTAATGGAGATTTACAACATGAAAAGCAACGAAAAGCCATTATCCCTTAATGTATTTAAGGAATAGTTATGTTGTGTACTGAATTTCAATGAATAAACATATATTCTAAATAATTCGTAAATGAGATCCCGAAGAAATAATTAAAGGTAAGAAGTTAATTGAAATTAAAAGGATTTAGGAACTCTTATAAAAGGATGTTGAATTAACTTTATAAATCTTATACAGAGCATAACTCATTTGTGTTATGAAACATTTTCAATACTGATTTAAAACTGATATGTTTAATTAATGAATCAATATAGAAAAAAATTACCAATTGGCCATGGTTATCATGTTGACGCAACTCTGGTTCTGCCTGAGTATAGGAAATTTTCTTAAACAGAGAAACAGCTCTTTGTTGGTCATAAGGGGGAATCTGATGCACCTCATGATGGTCTCTAAGTGCTGGACTCTTTTTTCATAGTCATGGTGTTGGAACCATGAAACGGCAGCAGAGAATATGTCGAACTCCGACCTGACCATAATATTCTCATCAGACAAAATTAAACACAAAGTTTCGACGTCCAGGTCAAAAAATGCCGGACACTCTTTGATTTTCAAAAAGTTTGTCGATATATTCCTGATAATCTTGTCACTAATCTCCACTGCTTGTAATTGTGCCATGTTTGGTAACAGTCGAAGCTGGTCCTCACATTTCATCTGCTCTATTTTCCTCAGATATAATTTCCTTATTTGCTCGACTTTAAAAACAAGAGCAAGTTTCATGACATCCCGCCAATAGACCGTGTTGAAATCAAGCCTTCCGGTATAAATGAAGGCTAAAAAGGAGACCAGGGCCTCTTCTGAAACTCCCCTAACATTTATAATTTTGGGGGCCACTGGCTCCTTCGAAAAATGCTCCCTTTCAAAAACTTCGGCGAACAGAGGGCTCTGTGAAGCCAATACTAATTTATGCGCTGGGAATAGTTTATCTCCCAACTTGAATGAAATGTCACACATTTGTTGTTTTTCGTATTTCTGAGAAATATACTCTCCTACATGTGTATAGTGGGAGACTTCATTTACGCTCTGCTCTATAGCGGGATCACTGATCTCTCGTTTCGTATTTTCATTAAGATCCTCATCTAAAATGGCAAAATCATTAGATGATAGACAAAAAACGTCTTATCCTGACTCCGCTGATTCCTAAAAAGGGCACAACATTCTGGATTTAACAACATTTTTTTTAAAAATTAAAACATTTTTAACCATTGAAAAAAAAAAAAAATGAAAGGGACTGTTAGTTTTTATCATATTAAGCAACATTTCAAAATACATAACATCTAATTTAGAAAAGTTTTACTGTAGTTTTATTATGCATATTTTGTACTCGGATTGAAAAGGATTATAGAATAACTTACGAGTACCATTTATGGAGCAAGGGCTACCTTTACTAATGCTGCTCCTTGGAGACTGGCTGTAGATTCTTGATGCTGTAAATGTGAAAATGTTTGTGTAGTTAAAATTTATAGTAAGCAGAATTGCGATAATATACCACTTTATTATCTATTTAGGTTAGTGTTATAGAAGCAACAGCATAAAATGTTACCAAATAATTAAATAAACACATACCAAGAAAAAATATTTACATTACAATCCTTATAGACAAAAAACAATGTCATTTTGCTATTTTAATAATATAAAAGCAATAGATATAATGATCAAATTTTATAAGATGTTGGTTCCAAATTTTCCCATTTCAAAAAATTCATATTATATTCTTTAAACTGTTGCATTGGAAATAAGCTAAAAAATATATGGATATTAAAAACCCAAAAATCTATCTAGCTGAATTAGGATTACAATTATTAAAATTAAAAAAATATATTTTCTAATTTCTTAAACACACAGGATTTAACATTGTCATTCTGCATAAAAATATATTTGCTTTATATTGATGTTTTATTCATTAAATTTTATCAAATACCTTAAACTTCATTGAGTAACAAAAATTCCATTTGATCTATAATTTGTTTCTTGATATAAATGGCAATTTAATTGAATGCTTAAAGCGGGAAAAAAATAAACTTTTATACTGAACTTTGTTTCCATAAAAAAACCCCTAGCAATTATACCTAAATGGTTTTGGTGTTGCAAAAAAGGAGAAGTCTTGAATTTTCATGTTTTTTAATAAAATTCAATTACAAATACAAAGAAGAAAATATTTGCATGGTTACACTGTGTTAAGACCATAAAAGTTATTTATAGAAAATATTGATTGCCCTTAAAATTTGTCTTAAAAATTTTGAAATTGGCTTTAACAAAGTTGAGTTTTAGCATGAATATGATCAGCAATTTCATTAAATGTATTCCAAATGTATGGCATACTTAAGATATATTCCAAAGTTTCTTATATTTCTAAAGAGTTAATTGTCATTTGCTTTTTCGTTTTTATTGCAGTCAGGATTTGAAAATCCGATTTTTAAACTTTTCCGGCTGTTCTAGCAACCGAGTTAGCCGAAATTTTTTAAACTGGATATATTGAGTTTTCAAAATCTTCCAGTGGCAAGATGTTTTTTACAGAGAATGGCAATTAAAACATTTTAAACCATTGAAAAAAAAATGAAAGGGATTGTTAGTTTTTATCATATTAGGCAACATTTCAAAATACACAACATCTAATTTAGAAAAGTTTTACTGTAGTTTTATCAATATGCATATATTTTGTACTCGGATTGAAAAGGATTATAGAATAACTTACGAGTACCATTTATGGAGCAAGGGCTACCTTTACTAATGCTGCAGAGACTGAATGTAGATTCTTGATTAAATGTGAAAATGTTTGTGTAGTTAAAATTTATAGTAAGCAGAATTGCGATAATATACCACTTTATTATCTATTTACATGTAGGTTAGTGTAATAAAAGCAACAGCATAAATCCTGAAATTAAAAAAAAATACATTATCCTTACTTGTACAATGAACAAATTTTGCATTTTAATAAGGATAATTAATACAATTATAATATAATCCGAATTCGAAGAATGTATCATTAAATCTATTTAAGTCATCTAAAGCTGAATAGAGATACAATTGCTACAAATTAGAAAATGTATTTACTAGTATATATTCCTTTCACAAAACAGTTGTCATTCTGCATAAAAATATATTTGCTTTATTGTTGTTAAGTCTACTAATATTTTAAACTGGATATTGAGAACCAAAAAGTTCATTTTTGATCTAAAATTAGAAATTAAAGGAGGTCATATAAAATAAACCCATTTGTGTATTCTTACAGCAGAGAATTCTTATGATTCAGAAAGAATAAATTTTAATTTCTTATATCACTTTCATATTTTATAAAAATATAGGGCTTTATTTGTTTTGAAAGTGTACCTTCTTTCTTGCACAAAAATTTACACTTTATGTATCTGTATTCTTCCTTGTCTTTATATAAAAGGAACAAAGAATGCATATAAAACAAGAGGCCCATGGGCCACATCGCTCACCTGAGAAGCTTTGACCATTCTGTTCTTTACTAGATTTCCCCCTTGTAATACATATTGTGAGATTTCTCATAAATATTTCTATGTAAAACTTTGATTCCCCATTGTGGCCCCACCCTACCCTTGGGGGTCATGATTAGAACAATTTAGAATCTACACTACCCCAGGATGCTTCCACATAAGTTTCAGCTTTTCTGGACCAGTGGTTCTTGAGAAGAAGATTTTCAAAGATTTTTCTACAATTATATCAATGTAAAACTTAGATTCCCCATTGTGGCCCCGCCCTTCCCCCAGGGGTCATGGTTTGACCAATTTAGAATCTACACTACCCAAGGATGCTTCCACATAAGATTCAGCTTTTCTGGCCCAGTGGTTATTTAGAAGAAGACTTTCAAAGATTTTTCCTATATATTTCTATGTAAAACTTTGATTCCCCATTGTGGCCCCGCCAAGTTCCAGGGGGTCATGATTTGAACAATTTAGAATTAACACTACCCCAGGATGCTTCCACATAAGTTTCAGCTTTTCTGGCCCAGTGGTTCTTGAGAAGAAGATTTTTAAAGATTTTTCCTATATATTTCAATGTAAAACTTTGATTCCCCATAAATAATTACAATAATTATATAATAACCAAAGGATAATTACAAAGGGTTATATAATAATATAGCTATAGGACCAAAGGTCCCCAAAAGCAAACTATTTTCGAGGGGGATGATACCGGCAAGTGGTGGACTTAATACACACAATTTTGAGTAATTTAATACGAAGTCAGTGGTTAAACAATATATAAAACCAGAAGTTTTTTGAAAAAGGGATTATGTCTTTATATAAAAGGACTATTCACCAAAATGCACTTCATGTTTATTCGAACAAATTTTTATATAGAAAACAAGATAACTTAACCAAGGAGTTTATAATTTTTAAGGATTATATTTCTTACCACTGCCATTTAAGGAGCCTTCACTGGAAATCATATTCTTGGTGACCGTCTTGAGGTGTTGGATCCTATCAATGGGAAAATGTCTATGTAGTTTAATGTCTATGTAGATTTTTTCTATATATTTCTATGTAAAACTTTGATTCCCAATAAATAATTACAAGAATTATATAATAACCTAAGGGTAATTACAAAGGGTTATATAATAACTTAACACAAGGAGTTTATAATTTTTAAGGATTATATAACTTACCACTGCCATTTAAGGAGCCTTCACTGGACTTCCCTGTCACACTTCTTGGTGACCTCCTAGGGGTGTTGGATCCTATTAATGGGAAAATGTCTATGTAGTTCAAATTTATAATATGCAGGAATGAGGCTATATATATCAGTTAATTCTCTATTCAAAATAGATCTTAAAAAAGCAACAAACTACTGTGGTTTCATCAATTTTCGTTGGCATCAATTTTCGTGGATTTTGTAAAACATACATTTTCGAGGATACGTAATTTCGTGGACAAAAGCATTGCCTATACAAATGAATGTCATATTTCGTAATTCAATGAACATTTGAATTCGTGGATCTGCTCAACAACGATCTCCACGAAAATTGGTGCTCAACGAATATTGATGAAACCACAGTAAATCCTGAAATTAACCAGTGATTACAAGGATTATTTATTAACTTATCATTGATTACAAGAATAATAAAATAAAAAACAGTGATTAAAAGAGTTATATAATAAATAACTAAATAATTTAGTACCTGTGATTACAAAAATTATATTAAAACTTAAGGGTAATATTACAAATATTATATAATAACTTTGAATATTCATGATAACATGGATTATATAAAAACTTAACAGTGATCACAAGGATTATATGATAAATGACCAGTAATTACAAGAATTATATAATAACCTAAGGGTAATTACAAATATTATATAATAACTTAACAGTGATCCCAATTATTACATAAAAACTTAACAGTGGTAACAAGGATTATATAGTAATTTAACAGTGGTAACAAGGATTATATAGTAATTTAACAGTGGTAACAAGGATTTTATAGTAACTTAACTGTGGTAACAAGGATTATATAATAACTTAACAGTGGTAACAAGGATTATATAGTAACTTAACAGTGGTTACAAGGATTATTTAGTAACTTAACAGTGGTAACAAGGATTATTTAGTAACTTAACAGTGGTAACAAGGATTATATAATAACTTAACAGTGGTAACAAGGATTATATATTAACTTAACCATGATTACAAGGGGTTTATAAGAACTATCAGTGATTAAAAGGGTTACATTATAACTTAACAGTGATTACAAGGAGTTTATAATTATTATGGATTATATAACTTACCACTGCCATTTAAGGAGCCTTCACTGGACCTCCCTGTCACACTTCTTGGTGACCGTCTTGAGGTGTTGGATCCTATCAATGGGAAAATGTCTATGTAGTTCAAATTTATAATATACATGAATGAGGTGATATGTCAGTTTATTCTCACCAGTGATTACAACGGTTATATAATAAATAACCAGTGATTACAAGAATTATGTAATGAATTATACCAGTGATTATTATATAATTACTTAAGGGTACTTACAAAGATTGAAAAATAACTTTTCTTAACAGTGATTACAAGGATTATATAATAACATAACAGTGATCACAATTATCAGTATTTGCCTAATGATTACAAGAATAATAATTGTAACAGCTTTCCTGGACCAGAATTTCAGATTATTAATAAGAAGAAAGAAATTGTAATGTTAAAAAGATTTTTCTAAATATATCAATGTAAAACTGACAATTTATATATATAATAATAATAATTAATTTCCAATTGTGGCCCCGCCCTTCCCCCGGGGGTCATGATTTGAACAATTTAGAATCTACACTACCCAAGGAGGCTTCCACATAAGATTCAGCTTTTCTGACCCAGTGGTTATTTAGAAGAAGATTTTCAAAGATTTTTCCTATATATTTCTATGTAAAACTTTGATTCCCCAGTGTGGCCCCACCCAGTTCCCCGGGGGTCATGATTTGAACAATTTAGAATCTACACTACCCAAGGAGGCTTCCACATAAGTTTCAGTTTTTCTGGCCCAGTGATTATTAAGAAGAAGATTTTTAAAGATTTTTCCTATGTATTTCTATGTAAAACTTTGATTTCCAATTGTCAGGCCCTGCCCAACCCCCGGGGGTCATGATTTGTATAATTCAGAATTAACACTACCCCAGGATGCTTCCACATAAGTTTCAGCTTTTCTGGCCCAGTGGTTCTTGAGAACAAGATTTTTAAAGATTTTTCCTATGATTTCTATGTAAAACTTTGATTCCCCATAAATAATTACAAGAATTATATAATAACCTAAGGGTAATTACAAAGGGTTACATAATAACTTAACAGTGATTACAAGGAGTTTATAATTATTAAGGATTATATAACTTACCACTGCCATTTAAGGAGCCTTCACTGGACTTCCCTGTCACAGGGACGATCTAGGGGTGTTGGATCCTATCAATGGGAAAATGTCTATGTAGATTTTTACTATATATTTCTATGTAAAACTTTGATTCCCAATTGTGGCCCCGCCCTTCCCCCAGGGGTCATTATTTGAACAATTTAGAATCTACGCTACCCCAGGATGCTTCCACATAAGTTTCAGCTTTTCTGGCCCAGTGGTTCTTGAGAAGAAGATTTTTAAAGACTTTTAATTATTAAAGATTATATAACTCACCACTGCCATTTAAGGAGCCTTCACTGGACTTCCCTGTCACACTTCTTGGTGACGATCTAGGGGTGTTGGATCCTATCAATGGGAAAATGTCTATGTAGTTCAAATTTATAATATGCAGGAATGATGCGATAATCAGTAAACTCTCACCAGTGATTACAATGGTTATATAATAAATAACCAGTGATTACTAGAATTATTTAATGAATTACCAGTGATTATTATATAATCACTTAAGGGTACTTACAAATTTTGAAAAATAACTTAACAGTGATTACAAGGATTATATAATAACATAACAGTGATCACAATTATCAGTATTTGCCTAATGATTACAAGAATAATTTAACAATGAATAATGCATCAGAATTTCAGTTAACAAGGATTAAAAAAATACCCCAGTAAAAATAGGGTAAAAATATCCCTGTAGAAATAGGGTAAAAATATCCGAGTAAAAAAAGGGATTATATAATAACTTACCTGTGTATACAAGAATTATGAAATATTTTACCAGTGATTGTAATAATTAAGAAATAACATTTTTCAGTGAAATTTAATAGTATTTACACGGATAACTAGTATATGAATGGATTATATAATAACTTTAAGTTACCAGTAAATACAAGGATTATATAAAAACTGTCTAGTTATGACAAGGATTATATAATAACTGATAAGCGATAAAAAGAAATATACAATTACTTACCAGTGATTTCAAAGATGACATAAAATTTTAGAAATTATTTTTAAAAATAATATAAAAACTAACCAGTGACAACTTCACAGAATTCTAAATTACTGTAAATACCAAGAAAAATTTGAAATTAACTACTGTAAACATATTACATTCAGTGGTGTATTCTAATTAGCGATTTTGGTGGTAAGCCGAGAATGCCTTGTATATCATACAGGTATATCTAGCACATTTAGATTGCCCTAAATCAAATCTATGCTAACTTGTTGAAAATTCAATTTCCGCAAAATATCGTACACGCCAAATATAATACTTTTACAGTAAAATAACATTACACTCGGCCTGTCGGGCCTTTATGTCATTTTTAAAACAAAATTGAAAAGAAAATTTGATATAAAAAGAAAATAAAGAACACAGAAAGATATAGGCCATGAAAAACAATGTACATGTACATTCAAAATGATGAAACAATATATATCAGAATTAAAAGAAAGGCTCATAGATTAAAATGAATGCAAGATGGTCATAAAGAACATTTAAGGTATTTCTATCCTCCTGTGATGTCATAGGTTTTTAAAAAAACAAACCAAAAACTGTTATTAATCTAAATTCATATCCATTAGATAAATATCTTTAGGAAGAATTCTTTTCAATAGCTGTAATACAAATAATTTGTTAGATAAAAGTAAACATTAGAAGTCTGTGAGACAAAGCTCACTAGTTATACACCCGCTCCTTTCAAAAAAAAAGATATTGACATCAGATTAATACCAAATTAAATTGTTGCATTCGTGGCGCAGCGGATAGAGTTGTGAAGTAAGGAGTTGATCCTTACGTCCCGGGTTCGAATCCCACTGTTAGGTATTGAGATCTGTCTATCGGATGAAATGACAAACCAAGGTCCTGTATCGCTGTAGGTGCTGGCACGAAAAAGGACCCCTCCCTGCTCGATGGCCCTGAGTGCCAAGTATGGGACAAAATTTGTAGCTCTCCACCAGCAAGTAATGGCGTCTCCATATTAGTGAAAAGTTCTCGAGAGTCGAGAGGGACTTAAACAACATTTCCTCAATCAATTGCAACCAATCAATAAAAAAAAATCCCATCATATGGCATACCTCAGCAAAAAGTGTGCTAAAATTTCCAGCAATTGCAATGAGTAGTTGCTAAGAAAACTGCTATAAAACGTGTTATGTACGTTACGGACAGACACACAATGGTAAAACAGTATACCCCCTTGCCTTCAGACAGGGGTATAATTACTTACCACTGACATTTGAGTAGCTACCCTCACTGCTGACAGTACTAAGCGAGGGGCTGTATCTTTTGAAAGCTGTATAAATAGAAATGTTTAATTTTTGTGTATTGGAAATTTAAAAAGAAAATCTGTGAGCCAATACTCACAATACTGAGTATTGCATGTATCTCACTTGTACGTATGTGTGATGATCATATGCTTAGTGCAGTTCAAGAAATTATTAAACAATTATAGTGTGACCCTAATATCCCGAAAAATAATTATGTCCTAAAGTCTTTGTTGAAGATAAATATAAATTAAACAATATTATATATTGATAAGAATTTAGATTATTGGGATTTCTTATTTTTTAATTAAAGTCTATGTTGCAGAAAATATAAATTAAACAATTCTATAATATTGATCATAATTATTTTTTTCACCTAATTTAAAGTCTATATTGAAGATGAGAATAAATTTAATGAATTATATATTGATCATATTGATGTTCACTCTTATTTACAAATAAAGTGCATTTAAAAATATGAAAATAAGATGTGTTATATATAACACTATGCCCCTGTATGGCAACATAAATTATTTATATATCAGATCAAATATTTTCTACCAATAAGGCCTTTCGGACAATGCAAATGCGAAATATAAAATGCTAGCTACACCTGTTCCAGGATTATGACCAATAACATTTTTTATGACTCTGCCTATAAGGTCAAAGGGTCAAGGTTGTTTTTTAAAGAAATATTTGTCTCAAAAAGATTACATATGGGAAGTATGATAGCGCTGGTCTTTACCTTTAAAGTCTTTGTTGAAAAGATAAATATAAATTAAACAATATTATATATTGATTATTGATTTCAAGGATTATTTTTTGAAATATTAAAGTCTAGCCTGTAGTTCAAAAGTTATAAATTAAAGTTTGTTAAACGTAAATATTGATCAAGGTCAAATTATTTTTTTCAAATTTAATGTCTATATTGAAGATAAAGAAATATGAAATTAAATGATACCATTATATAAAATCATGATTAAGTTTTATTTTTACAGTGAGAGTCAAACATTTAAGGTCAAGGTCAAAAACAAGATGTTTTGTAAAAATGAAAGGTCTTTTCCAGAATTATATATGTGAACATATGAAAGATTAAGCATTTCTTCAAAAGTTAATAATTTAATGTTTTTTTATGGGTACAGAAATCTCCAATGTCAAGGTCAAAACGTTAAGGTTGTTGGTATTTAATGAAAGGTCTTACCACAAAAAATACATATGTCAAATGTAATGTCCTAATATTGTTCAAAAGTAAGCTAATGTTAAAAGTTTTTTGTTAATAAGTACAAAAATCTCCAAGGTCAAGGTCAAAAGGTCAATGTAATTAGTATTAAATGAAAGGTCTTGCCACAAGGATTACAAAAATATGAAAGCCCTAGCCCTAACAATTCAAAAGTTATGGTCAATGTTCAATTTCTTAAAAAGTAGGTCAAACTCCAAGGTCAAGGTCAAAGGGTCAAAGTTTTTGATATCAACTGAAAGGTCTTGTCATAAGGATCAAATATGTAAAGTATGAAAGCATTAGCCCTAACTCTTTAAAAGTTATGGTCATGATTTGCTTTTTTAAAGTAGGTCAATCTCAAATGTCAAGGTCAAAGGGTCAAAGTTCTTGGTATCCAATAAAGGGTCTTCTCACACAAATTACATATATGAAGTATGAAAGCCCTATCCCTTACCGTTCAAAAGTTATGGCCAAGGTTAAAGTTTTTTCACAAGTATGGAAATCTACAAGGTCAAGGTCAAAGGGTCAAGGTTATTGGTATCCAGTGAAAGGTATTTTAACAAACATTACATATGTGAAGTATAATGTCCTGGTGTCTACTGTGTGTTCAAAAGATATGGCCAAAGTAAAAGTTTAAAATTTTCATGTAAAGGTATGTCAAACTCCAAGGTCAAGGTGAAAAGGTCAAATTTGGTGGTACCCAAAGAAAAGTTATTTCAATTGAAAGGTCTTGTCAAATATATATGTAAAGTATGAAAGCCTGCCCTAACTCTTTAAAAGTAATGGTCAAGATTTGTTTTTTTAAAGTAGGTCAATCTCAAATGTCAAGGTCAAAGGGTAAAAGTTTTTGGTATCAAATTAAGTGTCTTCTCACAAGGATTACATATATGAATAAATAGCCCACTGTTCAAAAGTTATGGCCAAGGTTAAAGTTGTTTCACAAGTACGGAAATCTACAAGGACAAGGTCAAAGGGTCAAGATTGTTGGTATCCTGTGAAAGCCTTTTTAACAAACATCACATGTGAAAGGTTTTTTAACAAACTTCACATATGTGAAGTATAAATGTCCTGGTGTCTATTGTTCAAAAGATATGGCCAAAGTAAAAGTTTAAAATTTTCATGTAAAAGTAGGTCAAACTCCAAGGTCAAAAGGTCAAATTTGGTAGTACCCAAAGCAAGGGAAAGGTCTTGTCACAAGGAATACACATAGGAAATATGAAAGTCATAGCTCCACTTAATCAAAAGTTATGGGCAAGGTTAAAGTTTTTGCAGACAAACAGACAAACAGAGAGACAGACAGAGAAACAGACAGACAGACAGACAGACAGCTAGACAGACAGACAGACACGACAAAAACTTTATACCCCTGGAACTTTGTTTACAGGGGCATAAAAACATGCATGGTTACAGTTGGTTTGAAAATAGTGAGTTTATAAATATTCCTCTATAAAACACAGCATATTTTTTAATGTAATGAAAAAATACATGTAAAATTTGTGAAAAGATAATGTCTGAGCACCATCTACAGAAAATTAGTTTAATTTTGGCCAAAATCAATTTTGTTAAGAAAAAAAAACACAAAAGGGTCTAAAAATGATTGCAAGATGGTTATTGACAAAAATACAGGATTCCAATTCCTAGACAGTTACAAGAATTTGAACTACACACATAATACGTACCACTGCAACCTTGTCCAAACTCCGGCAATTGGGGTGATTGTTGTGCAACCAGGTTGCTTGCTCGCCTGATGTTGCTAGTCACCGGCTCAGATGGAGGAGGAAGGGTTGCTGGTTTGGATTCAGCTGCTTTCTGGAGCTTTTGAAATAAAGTTCAATAATAAATATCTTTGATTCAGAAAAGTACAATAAAGCATGAGAACAAATGAAGTATTTTCAATGGAAAAGTTTAATTCACAAACAATTCTTACAGCAATTTTTTTTTTTTTCAAAATCATTAGAAATTATTCACTCTGCATATATATCGAGATCCCTTAAGTTTATTAATAAGATTTAAAACACTGTTTATAACATAAGTTGATAGAGATTTTGATATCAATCTGAATCTTCAATGCTTAACAGGATGGGTATTTGCACTGAATTCTAATGTAATTTATATTTTAAAACCAGAAGTCTCTGTTGAGACTGTAGCTCTACTGATTTGTACTTATGATAAAGGAGGAGAAAAGAAGCAGTTGGGACTTAAAACTTTACAAAAGCAATAAATAGAATAATGATCCTTGATTAAGTCTCTTTTTGTGGCAAGATTGCAATAAGACTACAACTGTAGGAGTAGCTTTTAATTAAACTTTTCAGAATTTTCAATTTTAGTTACGATGGCAACATCAATCATCAAAATTAAAATCACAAAGCCGATAGTAATGTATCTCAATATAGTCAACTTGCATGCCAAATTATATTTTAATCAGACTTAAACTGTATTTGGAGTAGCATTTTCAAAGTATTTCCCAGAAGTTTCTATTTCTAGTAACCACGGCAACACATCCAAGTCAAAATACCAGACCAAAACTGTAGGAGGAGAAGCATTTTGAAAAATTGTTTACATACAGTTAGACGGACAGCTAGACAGACTGACGGACGACAGATACATTACTATCGCATAGGCTCTTCTTGTCTCTGACCAGTAGAGTTAAAAAAAACTTAAATCTGTGCTTACATGACAGATTTAAGATCTAAGCCCACAACCCCCCCCCCCCCCCCCCCCCCTTTCCACTCAATAGGTTTTATTCTCATTTAGGTGAGGAGTTATTTTTTGTCTGTTTGAGTGTTTGTTCATTTGATTTCTTTTACGTAATTAATTGAGTTTGATTTTTTTTTCGGGGGGGGGGGAGGGGGGGGGTAAGACCCTTCACTTGAAAAAAAAATCTTAGATGTATGCTTTAATAAATGTATTATAATCTTTACTGGTAAATTGCCAGTCAGTACCATAAGAAACTAGAGGTACTGTGAGCAATGAGACTAAATGATACCCCCTCCTCCCATATCATGAAAATAATATAGAGACAAAAAATTTCAGTTTCTTATAAAGATCACTTCAAGAAAAAATCTAATGCCCCCGAAACTTCATTTAAAAAACTGCTAAAAAGATTTTTTTATGACACAATTGGAATTACAGACATAAAAAATGTAGAGCAGGAAAAAAATAAGTTGCCTTCAGACAGAGAGGTATGTCCCACTGAATACCACTGACATTTGAGTTGCTACTGGATCAAACTGGCTGTAACATGTACTAAGTGAGGGGCTGTACCTTTTGAAAGCTGTATAAATGGAAATATTAATTTTTGTGTATTGGAAATTTAAAAAGAAAATCTGTGAGCCAATGGTGGCGTTTCAATGCTGAAAGTTCATGTATCTCACTTGTACATTATGTGTGATGATCATATGCTTTGAAACTAGTTCAATTGTTAAAATTATAAACAACTATATTTATAGTGTGTGCTAAAATTTCCAGCAAAAATGAATTATGTCCTAAATGTCTTTGTTGAAGATAAATACAATTAAACAATATTATATATTGATAAGAATTCAAATTATTTGGGGTTTAAGTACTATACAAATTTCTGAATTTGAGTAGCTATGTTCACTGATGAGTATAAATTAAACGATGAAAACTATATAAATATAATTATAAAAAATTTTTTTTGTGAATTGGAAATTTAAAAAGATCTATATGTGAAGATATAAAAATTTAATGATTTTATATATTGATCATAATTAATGTTTTAGACGATCTTATGCTTTAATAGTGCATAAAATAAATTAAAAAATTTAAAGTGTGAAAAAAAAGACGTTTGTGAATATGTCCTAAAGTCCTGTTGAAGGCAACATATAAATTCCAACTTTCGTCAAATGTATTGCAATGATGTTGGTTATTTTTTCATTTAAAGCCTTTTGAACAAGAAATCGAAATAAATAAAATGCTATAGCGACACCTGTTCCAGGATTATGATTTCAAAGGTTGAAGATTTTATAAATATAGGACAAATATTGATTCATAGGTCAATTTTTCACCTAGAAATTTAAAGTTATATTGAAGAAATGCTTTGTCTCAAAGATTACATATGGGAAGTATGAAAGCGCTGGTCTTTACCTTTCAAAAGTTATGACCAAGGTTAAAGTTTGTGAAAAGTAGGTCAAACTCGAAAGTCAAGGTCAAAGGGTCAAGATTCTTGATATCCAATGAAAGGTCTTGTCACAAGGATTACACATGTGAAAACACAGCAATATTACTTTAAAAGTTATGTTCAAGGTTAAATTGTTTGTTAAAAGATTAATGTCAAATTTTCAGAAAATTAGGTCAAGGTCAAAGGGTCAATTTTGTCTTGATAAAAAAAAGGTCTTGTCAAAAGGATTAAATTTGACTTTGAAAAATGAAGATTCCTTCCTAGACATTTCCCTTCAAAAATTGAATGGTCAATGTTGTATTTTTAAAACCTTGTCAAACTCCAAGGTCAAGGTCAAAGGGTCAAGGTTCTTGGTATTGCAGTTGTCAAACATAGCCTGATTTGTTAGTGACCCCCTCAGAAGGGATTTATGAAGTCCTGATTTGTTACCATTCAATGAAAGGTCTTTTGAAATAAAGAATAATATATATCATCTTCCTGATTAAGAATGTTAAAGCTGTAGTACTTATTGTTCAAAAGTTATAGCCAAGGTTAATGTTTTTTTATGGGTACAGAAATCTCCAATGTCAAGGTCAAAACGTTAAGGTTGTTGGTATTTAATGAAAGGTCTTACCACAAAAAATACATATGTCAAATGTAAATGTCCTAGTTCTATTGTTCAAAAGATATGGCCAAAGTAAAAGTTAAAAATTTTTGTGTTAAAGTGGGTCAAACTCCAAGGTCAAGGTCAAAGGGTCAAGATTCTTGATATCCAATGAAAGGTCCTGCCACAAGGATTACACATGTGAAATATGAAAGCTCTAGCAAAGTTATATTGTACTCATAAAAATGGTGAAAAGGTCAAGTTTGTAAAAACTTAAGTAAAATCCAAGGTCATAGGTCAAAGGGTCAATGACCCTTGATATAATCAAAGGTTTTGAAATTAAGGATTACACAATGTGAAAGTATGAAAAAAATTTAATTTTAAACTTTTCAAATGTTTTCAATTTTATGTTGTGCAAAAAATCAAAGTCAAACTCCAAAGGGAAAAGGTCAAAGGGTCAAAATTATATATAATCCAATGATAAAAAGAAATTCCCAAAGGATATTCACAAAGGGACATAGTATTAAATAACCAGTAACACATCCAAGCAAAAACCCTTCAAAAATTATGAGTCCATGTTGTTGAAAAATTTTTACAACAGACAGTCAGACAAGGTCAAAAGGTCGACTGTTCTTGGTATTCTAATAATATGATCTTTTCATCAGAATTATATAGAGTAATAAAAGAAAAACTTATTGTGCTTACAAGACAAGTTTACAGTTGTTAAAAATTTTTCATAGGTAGTGAAATGCTCAAAGGTCAAGGTCAAAAGGTTAAGGATGTTGGTATCCAATTTTGGAAAAGTTTACTGTTACCAAATAATATATACCTGAAATATAATTTTTTGGGGGGTTGTTCAAAATTACTGGTCCAATAAAAAAAAATTCTTTGTGTTAATGTGGGCTAGACAAACATTCATCTCATTATAATATTTGCATTATTTGAATGAAAAGTAAAATTGTAAGAGATGGTACACCAAAGAACTAGAGGTCTTGTCACAGAGGAATACACTTTGTGATATGCATGAATGTCATAAAACTTAATCAAAAGTTATAGGCAAGGTAAATTTTCTCTTGCGGACAAACAGACAATAAGAGAGTGCAGATAATCAGAAAGACAGAGAGACAGACAGAAACTAAAGGTACTGTGACACAAGGCTCACTAAACTATACCCCCTCCTCCCATATCATAAAAAAATGGCAGTGTCCATGTTTTGCAAAGGAAAAAAAAAATATGTATTGGATCAGAAAGTCAAAAACTAGGAGGTGCAAAATGGCAAGGTGTACAAAAGATTCTGTGTAAGTTTCATCAAATTTCATTCAGACAGGTGTGAGAGAATTTATTCTTCTCTCACACAAAGGATAGGTACCCCAAAGCTTAACCTGGACGTACAGACAGACAAACATCACGGCATTACTTATATATTGTGCAATTTTCCAGGTCATGAAAATGCACGAATCTGATGTTGCTAAAATTGTCGCTATGAAATGGAAGAAAAGGGTTACATTGGTTTGGATCCGTTCCCACGCTTGCTCTGGAGCTTTTAAAATAAAGTCCTCTCTAAAACATATATTTTGATAAAGAATGAGCCTAGCAACGGCTGTAAAGAAATGACCCTGTAAAATCTGAAAATTCCCGCTCAGAACACTTTGTTTCCGGAAGTAAGAGAGAGATTTTTAAAACTCCAAAACATTCATAAAATATTCAAACATGTCCTTAGAATATAATAAATATTTAAATTGATTTTAATATCCTATATTGACGGTGCGACCTTTAAAGGTAATTTCATTGTTTTAATTTAGATCGGGCTCGTCAAACCGCACGTGACATTTGGTGCATAAGTTGATAGAGATTTTGATATCAATCCCCGGATGTGCACATGGCTTTATTTGTGGCACTTCACCGACCCTCAGACAGACGTGGGTATTACCCGAGGCCGCCATGTGAATTCTAATGTAATGTTATATTGTTATTCACAAGCACAATGAAGTCTCTGTTAAATATAGGTAGGCTCTATCTGATTTGCTAACTTATGATAAAGGAGGAATTTTAAAGTAAAAAGTTAATGTTTGAAATAAATGATGTTATGACAAAAGCAATATAGAAAGTATAGAAAAGCCAGGGGAAGTTTTAGGAGTGGGGGTTGATTTTTGACATAGCATGTTATTTGTGGCAAGATTGCAATAAAACTACAATTTTGACCTATAAAGCTTTTAATACAACTTTTCAGTATATTTTCAATTTTAGTTAGGATAAGGCTGCAATATCAAACTGTTCAATCTGTAGTAAGTAACTCTCTGAACTACCTAGATATACGTCATAATAGAATATGAAGTCAAGTCACTGCATACTTGAGCTGACATGACGCCGGGAAAGTGTCATAATTAAACATGGCATGTAGATTAAAGTAGGTCTATACTCGCACACGTCATTTAAATAGTGCGCTCGGTTCTTGATTACCGGTAGAGTTTTTAACTATATTGGTTTGACCTCAATTGCAAAAAAGGTAACGATTTTGAAACAGTCCTTTCTCATTTAACACATACTCTCAGTTTAACGAGGCTCGGGGGTGGCAGCCATTGACATCCTAACAAAGCATATTGGACCGAATTATCTTTGAAACCAAAATGGCAGTTTAAATAAGCGAAATGTTCTATGATTACAATATCAGGGTCAGGAGGACTATTAACAACAATTATGAGGAATGTTTGGTTGTGGAAACAGCGAAAGGATAAGTTAGGAACACACGGTTATTAATGTTATGAGAACGCAGTTTAAAAACATCGAGAAATAAATCGAGAACAGAGCGCACTTTTTTATGCGCAATTAATATACAGTTTCCTTTCACATGGGTGGCAAAGCTAAGTTTCAAAGAAACTCTCCGATCTAATCAAATATATTTAGATATTGATGAGAGCTATAGGTTCTGCAGCTAGATTGCAACATCAATCATCAAAATCAGTGACCAGGTAAAAGTTTTAGGAAATCCATGTATCTCAATGTAGTCTACTTGCATGCCAAATAAATAATCAGACATAAACTGTATTTGAAGTAGCATTTTCAAAGTATTTCCCAGAAATTTTTATTTTCTAGTAACCACGGCAACACATCCAATTCAAAAAACTAGACCAAAACTGTAGGAGGAGTAGCATTTTGAAAAATTGTTTACATACAGACAGACGGACAGCTAGACAGATGGACGGATGACGGACGCATTACTATCGCATAGGCTCTTCTTGTCTCTGACCAGTAGAGTTAAAAAAAAAAAATTTATCTGTGCTTACATGACAGATTTAAGATCTAAGCCCACAAGCCCCCCCCCCTCCACTCAATAGGTTTTTTTTCTCATTAAGGTCAGGAGTTATCTTTTGTCTCTTTGAGTGTTTGTTCATTTGATTTCTTTTATGTAATTAACTGAGTTTGATTTATTTTTTTTTTTTGGGCGGGGGGGGGGGGGGGGGGGGGTAAGACCCTTCACTTGAGAAAAAAAATTCTTAGATGTATGCTTTAATAAATGTATTATAATCTTTACTGGTAAATTGCCAGTCAGTACCATAAGAAACTAGAGGTACTGTGAGCAATGAGACTAAATGATCCCCCCTCCTCCCATATCATGAAAATAATGGCAGTGTCCATGTTTTGCAAAGGGAAACCAAAATATGTGTTGGATCAGAAAGTTAAATAGGGGGTGCGCAATGGCAATGTGTAATAAAGATTCTATGAAAGTTTCATCAAATTTCATTCAGTGGTATGAGAGAATTTATTCTTCTCTCACACAAAGGATGGGTACCCCTAAGCTTAACAGATGGACGTACATCACGATTACTGTATAGTGTATATCCTTCCACTTTTCAAGTGGGGTTAATTAGAACAGGTCAAATGTGTACTAATATGTCAATGTTGGGTGTAAACAAAAGTCCCATGGGCTTGTGTTCCTTGACAAAAATATTTCAAAATGATGCTAGCCTGTTTTACTTTTTCCTTAATCATGTTAATGATACAATGCACAATTCAACAAGTAGATTTATGAACTTGACCTTGGTTATGTAAAACGAGGCCTAGAGGGCTGCTGAAAATGAACGATTGTTAACCCGTATATTTTTTAGGTTGGTTCCACGTAGTTTTTTTTAGCATAGTTAACAATTTAACAATCAGATGCATAGGGCCTATACATATGTAAAACAACTACGATTGTATAAATAACCACAAATCTACCCTATCCCCAGACCGACGAAGCCATTAATTTTCCCAGAATCATGAAAATGCACGAATCTATTTATGTAAAATTGTCGCTATGAAATGGAAGAAAAAAACTTACATTCATTTTTCTTCTCCGTTCCCAGGCTTGCTGGGGGAACGCATCCTCCCAGCAAAGGAAGCTGAGAGGACCTCTCTCAAAACACTCAGCCATTTTTATGAATAACGAATGAGCCTAGCAACCGCTGTAACTAGGAAATGACCCTGTAAAATCTGAAAAATCCCGCTCAGAACACTTTGTTTCCGGAAGTAAGAGAGAGATTTTTAAAACTCCAAAACATTATAAAATATCCAAATATGTCAATGTTATTTAGAATATAATAAATATTTAAATTGATTTTAATATATTGACGGTGCGACCTTTAGAGCGAGCACAAACTCTTCTTTGTTTTAATTTAGATCGGGCTCGATGAACCGCACGTGACATTTGGTGCGTCTAGACGACAGGAATGAGAGTACCAAATCCCCGGGTGTGCACATGGCTTTATTTGTGGCACTTCACCGACCCTCAGACAGACGTGGCCCCGGGAGTGTTTGGACAGGGGGGAGGGATAGAAATGGGTATGGGAAGATGAGGGTAAATTGGCTGGAGGAGGGCAGTACAGCCGAGAGGGTGCATTGGGTAGCTCTTATGGTATAGAAGAGACAGACTAGGTCTCAGTTTGCAGTTGCAGGCCTGGAGGTCAGTCATCTCTGCCATAAGAAGTTATGCATCGACCCGATGCACCTTACTCTGGAGCCGCATGCCACTAACCAGGAGAGGATCCACTGCTAGGACCAGGGGTTTTGTTGTGGGGCTCACCACCCTAAATGCATTTTTTAAAGTAATTTAAAATACTGGGTGTATATTTTTTTAATATTAACTTGTTAATTTCCTGTTTTCAAATAATTGTGTTCAGGGGGCTTTCATTTTTTACATCGGGCTCAAGATTCAGCTAACATCATGTTTTTTGTGTATTTTACTTCTTCCTGATATTCGTAAAGTTTATATAATTTCTTACGTTTAATTACCCTTTTTGTTTTATACGATTGAGTTTTCTGATACAATTTATTTAATTCATGCTCATTTTGTATTTTATTCAGAGTCTGGTCCACTTGGCCACCAGTGGGGATGGGGGCACCAACCCCTGCACAGAGGCTTCGGAGCGAGCTGCCCGGACCGTGATTTGACCAGCAAAGTTTCTTGTGAAAGTAACATTTCGAGGCAGGGATCGCCGCAGAGTTCTGTTGAAGCTTTCGACCTTTTGCGAGTTGGTGTTTTTTATCGTCCTGTCCAGTACAGCTGGAGACAACCTCTTAGAGATGCAGACATGGAGCCTTGCCTCATTTTCCGCGGAAGACGGTATTGTAAAACCTTGACCTAAATAAGAACTCTTGCTAACCCAGTTATTTTTTACTATCCCTTTACACACCAGAGAGTGTTTTCTGCATGATGCATGATCTCCCACGTAACATTTCACTATTGCATGTTTGGCATATGAGAGCTTGTTTTTTAATTTATCTGCATCTCCAGCATATACTGCATGAGCTTGATTAATCTCAGCTGTACATCTGTCAACAGCATCTAGGGCAAAATCACGCAAAAGTTTTGTTTTTTATGCTTTAGTTCTCTTTGGCATGACCTCTAAAAGTTTCTGATCTTTATGTTCCCCAAACGGAGTTTGGGAACATATTGTTTTTACTCTGTTTCTTATTATTATTATTATTTTTTTTCTTATTTCTTCTCCGGTACTTTTTTTGTCCGCGAGTGTTCTCAGAAACTGTTCACCCAACTGAGCTAAAACCTTTTTAGGGTTAATAGGTGTGTAGTGTAGGTGTGCGGAACGAAGGTCATTTTGCGCGCATACGCATGCACGTGCGTGCGCGTGAAATGAGTGAATTGACTGATATATTTAATATGGATGGAACTTCTATATTTTTTGATGAAATGTTTTGAAACTCATTATATAAGGATATATAAGATGTATAGATATGATGACATGGTCAAATTTGCATGAACTCACGCGCATGCACGTGCGCTTTGCTCTGATTTGAAACAAAAACCTCAATATCTTTTTTGTTTTTCGATGAAATGCTTTGAAATTTATAACATAGTCATACATTAGGATACCCTACAATATGATATATAAAAAATTTCGTGAAATCACGTGCATGCACGTGCGCTGTAATCTGATTGGATGAAACTTTACATGACTATTACTCCCTTGGTTTCCAACCAAACATGATGGGATTTAGAACATAGGAAGACATAAAGGACTCCTACAAGATGGTATGGTCAACATTTACATGCTTGCACGTGCGTGCACGTGCGCTTTGCTTTGATTGGCTGAAACAAAAATCTCAATATCTTTTCTGTTTTCTGACAAAATGCTTTGAAATTTAAAACATAGGCATACTTTAAGAAGTCGTACAACGTGATATATAATAATTGTCATGAAAACACGCGCATGCACGTGCGCTGCAATCTGATTGGCTTAAACTTTAAATTGCTATAACTCCCTTGTTTTTCAACCAAACAAGATGGGATTAAGAACATAGACAGGCATAATGGACTCCTACAAGAAGGTATGGTCATCATGCACGTGCGTGCACGTGCAATGAGTAAAATAGTGTAGACAAGATGATATAGTCATGCAATGTTGTTTAAATCTTAAATTCATAGATTATGCCTATTTTAATGAAACTTACAGGAATATGGCACGAAAAGGGAGTTGGGGAGCGTTTGGGGAACATCTGTAACGGTTCCCGTTACAATTAGCACTAGTTTTTAATTGCCTTTCTGATTGACTTGGACAAGTGTCGAGTGTCAATATAGTGAACTGGGATATTTTGCAGCGGACCGTCCTTATAGAGGGAATCTGCAGCTCGACCGGCAGAGCTGTCCGGGTCAGTGGTTACCTCCCTAACCTCGAGGCCATCTTTGCAGAGGAGTTCCGCCATCCCCTCCTGATCCCAAGTGAACTCATCCCCAATAGTATGGTGCATTGGTAGATTTGCCCCACACACCCCAGGACTGCAGTGGTGGTTAGCAGTGCCCTCATCCAGTAAGTGTCCATGTTTTGAGCAAATTTTATTTTTAGTAACCATTTTAATTATCTGAAGTTTTGATGTAACATTTTCAGCGAATGAGTACACAGTCTGTGTCGCCGGCTGGAAGGGTGTCTCACCCACCCCCGAGTACAGGGGGTTATTGTACATGCCATCGCACTGTACGGGGATGGCATGTGGGGAGTCATTTCCCCTTAGAGTGTTGACATCCACCAGATGGCGACACCGGTTACTCATGTCAGCCTCATTAAGGTTTTCAATAATTGGCATAATTTTGTTTGATGTCTTTTGTAGAGACTTTTGGGTAGGAGGGGGAGTGTTGGTAGAAAGAAGGATTTTCCTCATCCCATCATTGCCTATAGGGATTTGACTGAAGCCAACTTAAAGCCCATAGTTAATAGTGGCAGCTTTCCTACCCGGGGATTTGGTCTCTACCTCCTCATACAGATTGTACCGCCTTGATACATATAGACACTTAGTACATCGAAGGCCCATCCGGCTTCCCAGACCACGCCTCTCTTCGGATGCCAGATCCCACTTAAGCTGTCCATCGCACCCCGGATTCCCTTGCTGGTGGAGAGAGATCACCTCATTCCACATCTCGGCTGTTTTCCCAAGGTGTAGCAGTCGATGGGAATTTTGATTGGCCAATCTAGGTAAATATACCATTTTTCATTTGCTGGAGACAGATGACAGTATACAGTGCATGAGAGCACATATTAGAGTTACTTCCCTTAGACTATCTAACAAGACATAGGAAATTTAAACATCATATAACTTGAATTCTTTGAAATTAATGCTTCTGATTTCTTTTCTTATGTACCTATATGACTTTCAACTGCATGTATTACATTTTACTTTGCATGTATTCACATGTATTTACATGTAATAGTATGTAATATGTATCCCACCCTAGTAAGGTCCATTTTTCCCATATTTAGTCATGTAAAAGGTAAGTAAGACTAGATTTGTTAGAATTTTTATGAACTATTGCTCAATTATAAATGTTTTATACAAAATTTGACTTACTGTTCTGATTCATGTGTATTTAGGCACTTTGGAGGGCTTTCAAATTTCGGTCTCCTCGGCCTAAGGAGATGGTGGCACATGGGCCGCACGAGCATTTCCTGCCCTTCCGCAGCTATAGGAATTTCTGGAACCATCTGATGCAATTGCTGGGACAGTCTGTTGTACTTTGCAGGTAAAATTTTCACATCATTAATTTTCATTCCCTTCTTATGGGGCACATTTTGAGGTTTGAAACGATAGTTATGACCCTTTTTTAACTTTGGCATGGTTTTAATTCTCCTTGTTTAAACTTCAAATTCCCCAAAAAATGATAAATGGTCAGTGCTGTTTAAGGCTTCAGAGACTGAACTGTAATGTGTTATCAAAAATTGGGGTTTTCTGTAGCCTATGTTAATTATAAACAAAGAAGAAAATTCTTTTAACTAATAAAATAATGTGGT